GGGCCTAGACGCTGTCCCTGAGCTTTTTTTTACTCAAGGCTAGCATTGTACCACAGTGCAGCTTCCAGTTTACTGGTGGTTAATTGGTGATAAGAGTTTCAAGGACTTTCCTGCCCAGGCTGGCTTTGAACAGTGAGATCTCAGCCTTCTGAGTAGTTAGGGTAACTGTGTGAGCCACTAGTGCCTAGAGACAATTAAGTTTTAAGCTCAAAATGACAATTAAATTCCCAACTTTTCTGAAGGAATAATGATATAATTTGCCTCACTTAGGCCATGTCAATTCCTTCCAAGCCTGAGATTGTTCATGGTGAACTCACTCAATTTTGGCATCCCAACTCATAGGAGCCAATGTTGAATTACTAGAAACACTGTAAGAATGAGATTACAGTCTGTGGAACAAAGTAAAATCAAGAGCAAAAAAGTCACATGGTCATTGGTGGCATAGGCTTGTAATCTGAGCTGCTCAGGAGGCAGAGACAGGAGGATTGTGGTTTCAGCCTCACCTGGAAAAAGTGAATGAGACCTGATCTCAAAAACAAGTCAGATGTGGTGGCTCAGGCCTATGATCTCATTTACATGAGAGGTATAGCTAGAAAGATCACAGTCCATGGCCAGCTCAGGCAAATGCATGAGACCTTATCTAAAAAGTCAAGCAAAAAGAGTGTAGCTTAAATGGTAGATCACTTGTCTACCAAGTCTAAGGTCCCAAGTTCAATCTCCAATGCCACTAAACAAAATAAGTGCATAGTTATATTTTCCCCAGGGCCCTTAAAGGTACATGTTTGTGTGAGTGGAAAAGAGCTAGAAGGAGAATTTGCTCTAAGAAATGCTCACTGGTAGCATTGGGGATGATGACAAATCATGACCCAGGAAATGCAGAGTCCTGAGAAGGTGGTATAGAGAGGTGGCAGAGCTGGGTGTTGACAGTACATATATAAACATCAAGAATGAGAGAGACAACTCCACCTTTATAGGAACTATTCACAGTGACAGCTAATACTTCCACCTGTCATCTGACAACATGTAGGTCAGTGCTGAGCCATGAGCACCCGCAGCCAGTTGGTTAACATGGGAGAAACCTCAGACTCACTAGCTGACTTGGTTATAGGTACCTCCTTCTCCTTGTGTCTTGTGATGATCCTAGAAACTTAGCTAGTAGACCTTAGATATAAGTGCCTAAGGAATCACTGTGCAAGGCCTTTGCTCATAGACCTCACAGTAGTAGCCAAGGGGTGTCACAGTCCCCCAAGAGACAAAATAATGAATCTAAGAGACATTCTAGAGGAGAGAGAACACAGCAAGTTTTCAAGAACTAGAGACTAAAAAAGTTAACTGCCAGGTCCATGAGAATGATCGATGGGCTGTGCAGAGGCATCCTGGTCCATAAGACCAATCAAATGTGCAAAAGCCATACCAGTGACTCTCCACGCTGGCTGGCAAAGTGCAACCCACCTAACATCCATCATTCCTGAGGAGCTGACAGCTGCCGAGTAAGCAAGGCCACATGAAAAGCCTCCTGGGAGACTTCCGCAAACCACCCACAGTCTAGCGCACGTGTTTGGAGAGGCCAGCTTGAAAGGCAAGCACTTGTGCTAGAGTACCTTTTTTTGTGGTGGGAAGTGGGGAGGAGGCAGATGGATGCTCCTTCGCTTGCTCTCTCAGGCAGCCTCAGCTTAGTTGCTAACATATTCTCCTATTTCCCTGCGGCTCTTCACCCCGATGACAGGCAATCTGATGAATGATGCTCACTGCTTGACCCAGATGCAGGCCAATCCCCAGTGGGCTGCTTCTGCACGTGGTTACTTCGGGGAAGAATCAATTCCCTGGGAGTGCATGGTGGAAGATGGGGGGCAGCAGAGGCCAAGCAATCTCTGCCTTCAACCTTGTGAAGGATTTACAAGGAGAAAATCTGCTGGAGTCTCACCAGATACAACAACTATTCTGACTCAGTACCCAGCTCCCAAGTCCTGCAGCCCCTCCACAGGCCTGGGGGGGAGGGAGGAGGCAGGGAGGGAAGTACAGGAGACAGATGTGTACTCCTCCACACCATATTTCTGGAAATTCCTTCTTGAGGGGGAACCTCTCCCCCTCTTAACAGAAGAATAAAGAAAAGAGAGTATATAAAGCGTTCTTCCATAGGCCAAATACAAGCAGTTTTCTAGATCACGAGACAGGGTCTTTGAAGAGAGTGGGAAGAAGGGGAATCCTTTGTATTAACTCTTTCTGAGGGCTTTTAAGGCCAAGCAAACCAGGCTCCAGTGGCTCATGCTTATAATTTTATAACTCAGTAGGCTAAGATCTAAAGATTGAGATTGCAAGTCAGACCATGTGGAAATGTCCATGAGACTCTTATCTCTAATTAACCAATAAAAAGCTGGCAGCAGATGTATGGTTCAAGTGGTAGAGTACTAACTAGTCTTGAGAGAAAAAGCTAAGGAACAGTACTCAGGCTCTGAGTTCAAGCACTGAGCCTAGACATACGCACAAGCATCCATGTACACACACACACACACACACACACACACACACACACACAAACACACACACACCCATTAAGCCAGAGGGATTTGGTAAAAACTCTTTAGTCCTGGATCATAGAAGGGAACAAAACAAATTTGGGAAAGAAAATTTGAGTTAAGAGTAAAGGAGGGGTGGAGAGACCAAGGAAAATTTGGGGCATTTTGCATCTCATTACAACCCAGATCAACATCAATATCCATACCTCATTTTAACTCATCAAAAAAAAAAAAGGTGAAAGGAACTTGGAATATAATCATTGGGTGACATTGTTAAAACTCAAACTGGACAACATGTTTTCTCAATTAAAAGAAATTGCTATATGTACAAATTGAATCAAGTGAAATTTTAATTTGAAAAAGCAATAAGCAATTCAAAGATGCTTTTTGGTCTGAGTTCCACGTATGAAACAGACCACAGTTCATGAATGGATTGAATCCTGCCATTGGCAAACCTCACCGAAGTGCCCAGGTCATTAGCTCTATTCAGGAGGCTGTCTCTGAAAGGAAGAGGAAAGCATGCCTTTCTTTTTCAAAGTTCCAGTCATGATTGTTCACAAGAACATCCATGTGGTAAGTGTCTCACAAAAAACACCAGGACCATAAGAAACAAAACGTCACAGCACACTGGGTGGTAGATTCTCGAGTTCTACATCCCAGTTATTGGTTAAAGAGATGCCTAAGTCACAACTTAAAATTTATGAGACCCTTCTCTCCAGAGAAAGGGTGAGTACTTAGGAAAGTTAACTCTAGGTACTTAATATGAGATGTATAAACAGCTGCTTGGAAAAATAAATACATGGTCTTGAAGGATGATACTTCTAACATACACCCTTAGCACTTCCTTCCTCCTGGGGTGTGATTCATCTTGATGGCTATTATAAACTAGATTAAACGTATTTTCATATAACCCCAACTAGTATGCAAGGTGCACACCACCCCCACTTTTGAGAGAAGAACACTCAGGTTCAAACAGGTTGGGTTTGTCCAAAATCACAAGGCAGCAATCCTGTGAACATGTTCCTGATTGCAAGTCTTCAACATCATACTTGATTCCTGTGCTATGCAAACAGTCAAAGGAAGCCCAGAACTTACAACACTAGGTGTAGCGTAGGAAATGTCTGGATTTGAACTCAAAAGCACTTAGCTATATGGTCAGCTGTGTAGGGAATGTCTTGATTCCCCTTCCCCTCTCCATTTCTACCTCCCCCAAAGCCACAGCATTGGAAAGACAATGACACTCAGGCTTCTGAGGGCCATTTCCTATCTCTTGCCCTTGGATTTGCCTCTTTTGGTGAAACGGGGCTGACTCAGCTCTAGCTCCAGGGGTGAACATACAGAGCAGGCCTGGCTAATCAGTGCACCTTCCCAGCTTCTCAGCCTAAGAGGACATGACAGAAGCATGAAAGAGCATTATAGCCTGGCTTTCTAATGAAACTTCTACAGAACAGGGGTTCTCTATCAGGGTTACGGTTTCCAAGGCTGATGAAATCCCAGAACTGTAGGGTGCCTATTCAGAGACTGTCTTTCTGAAAATTCCACCCATTAGGGAAATATTTGAGGAGAAGAGGGAAATGTTTAATGCCATGTGAACCCATGGATCCAGCGATGGCTAAAGGCAAAACCTCTGAACCTCCCAGTTAAGTGGCCAACAAAATCCATTTTAGAGACTGTTCGAAAGTTTACTTGTCATCATTTCCAGCTAAGAACACTGATAAATACACAAACACATAGTTTGAAACAGATTGAACATCGTAATGTGAAAAAATGATGGGAAGGGTAACATTGACCAAGATGCACAGTCCTCATAACCTGATGTTGAATTTGAAGCCCGTTTGTACAATTAAAGATAATTTTTTAAAATATTCTTTAATCCTAGCTACTCAGAAGGCTAAGATCTGAGGATGCAGAAAAGTCCATGAAAATCTTACCTCCAATTAACCACCAATAAAACCAGATGTGGCTCAAAGTGGTAGAGCACTAACCTTGAGCACAAAAGCACTTAGGTCCTAAGTTCAAGACCATGGACCAGCAAGCTCCCTCCCTGGCAAATACTGCATAAACTTACCCTCAGTCTATGTACACAAGTTGCATACATATTTCCTTAAACTCAAGTCTTGTTCCTCAAGACAAGTTATTATGAATAGGCAAATATTTTCATATCTGATGTTCCTCTGACCTCGGTCCTCATGAGTTTTGAAATAAGGAAGGCATACTACAACAAATAGAAATTAAGATATTTCCATGGTTTCGATATGAAAAAAAGAATTGGAGAAATCTAACAGAACAGAAAGACGCTTGTGTGGAAAGAGGCAGCCAGGAGATCTGCAGCCCGAGTCTTTTGAGCAACAAGTAGTCCACTCCATGGGCCTCCTAGGAGTCTCTCCAGAAGACAAGTGACTGTGAAAACTCATTGTCACCCACAGGTCACTGCATTTGTCATGCAGAACCTGTTCAAGCAGAAGAGGTTGCATTTGTACCTACCTGAAGCGCTGGAGACCCGGGACACGTCTTGAGAGTGAGTGGAGCGATTGCGACTCTGTTGTCGGCGCCGACTGGAGGCGGATCTGGTGGTACGCACGTGGACCTCACTCACTTTGAAGAAGGCCACCATGAAGGGCTGCTTGTCATAAGGGCCGTCTCTGCCCACCAGGCCTGCCACACGGGGGTTGATGTGGAGTCCTTGAACACAAAGCAAAGCATGGCCCTCTTTATTCAGTGGCACTTGAGCCTTGGAGCTACACCACGAGTAACTCGTTCTAGCACCCTGACTGCTGGTACCAAAGAATGAGTGTGAGGAGGAAGTTTTATGCACTCTCCACCTCGCCCAGCTCCGTGTGGCTGGGCAGAATCAACACTCTCTGCCATGTGTACCTGCTTCACACCACGGAGCTCTCAGGCTCTGCCACTGCTCCTCATTCAGCCATGTTCACGTTCCTTCTGATCTTATTTCTCCCCAGTCAGTGAAACCACTGGGGAGTCAGGACTAGTCACAGCAGGGAACTGAACTTTCCTGCTTTGGGAGAAAAGGGCTTCACAAGGATCTCCTTGGCTAATCTGCTGGGCAGTCAGAGTTCCAGGGCAGTTCCTGTCTTCTCAGATGAAAGCCCAGGGCCTCACATATGCTGGATGCGTGCTGCGCCCCCGAGCTACTTCCCTAGACTGCCTGCCTTTTTCTCCCCATCCTCCTGTCTTTCCATCATTGCTCTTGGATCGTGGGAGGTAACTTGGTGCCAGCCTGTCCCTGAGCCCTTGCAAAGAGTCATCAAGGGGAAGGTTTGGTTTTGAGTATAGACACGAGGGAACAGCAAGCGAGATCATGCTGGAGCCAGGACTGGACTCTAAAGCATGATCGTAGGACAACTGCTCCCGAGAAAATGAACGGGAACATCTACAGGCCCAGTCTTGGCCATGGGCAGCCCTCTGCTTACCATCCCGTGTCACCACACTCAGCTGCAGCCCCATGTTGTGCTGCGGGGTCACCACCCACAGGTTGCTAGTGGCTGTGATGTCAAATTCCAGCCAGCCTTCTTCCGAGGCCCACACAACTCGAGTGTCCAACAAAAATAGGTCCGAGTCTCTGAAAAAAAAGAAAAGAGAAAGAAAAAACAGAGCAGGATGAACAACGCCGTTCCTGGGTCTCACCGTGTCATGTCTACTTGTCAGAATAAAAAATGCCAAAGTCAGACTGTGCCCATCTGTATGACCAGCATGGTTCTGCTTGGCGTGACACACTGTGGGACCTGGGCATGGCACACGACCATGTCATATGACAATATTTTTCAGGGATGTCGCTGTCACCTGTACACAGAAGGTGCCTCCCCTCCCCCTAAGGCTGTTGCTCCTCACACCAAAGACATTCTTGGAATTAAAGTGTAAGTAAACATAGCGCATTTGCTTTCATATGTTACTGCACTGTTATTTATATATTTTATGATGCTATTGGTTAATGGCTAATGAACTTTACAAAGAGAAAGCGAGGAACAGGTTGAAGACAAACTCAAAATCAGGACCCAAGTTAGCACTGACAATGCTGTGATTAGCTTATACTTCTAAAAAAAAACCCAAAGATCATCACATCACATGAAAGAAATAAGAAGTCATGTCTCATTTCTGAGTCGCCGTCCATTCCTCTGTAACTAAGTCTCTAAATACTCCAGGATGAAGGCTGGCTCCCTTCAGGTGGACTGTGATTCTAAAGCTCATCCCAGCACAGTTGGGTTCTCCCGATTGGTTTTTGTCCTTGAGGTCAACATGAAACTCCTGCCAACCTTACCTTCCAAGTAGCAGGAACCATACATGTGGGTCAGGTCATAAATATTTTTGGTTTTCAACAGGCATGAACTCAGAGGTGAGGGAAGATGGTGTGAAGGTTTTGTTCTCCCCAGACCCCTGCCATGTGCCATAACAGGTCAGATGTAGTGGCTGGCTGTTTTGTAAGAATGTCTGGGACCCTCTGAATCTGAGTTCACATCTCAGGGCCTCTAGAAATGGAGTGGCCTGGAATCCCCTTACCACAGGGAGAGGCAGATGATAGCCATGAAAGATTCAAATACTCTGGGGATTGGAGAATTTGTTGCCATACCTTACAGGGATAGAAACTTTGCTAGAATTACGTGTAGGCTGACTGAGCATCCTGACTCTGAAAGATCTTAAATCCAAAATGTTCGATCCAAATGTTTGAAAACTTCCAACATGACACCAGAGTTAGCAAATTCCACACCTGACTTAAATATAATGAGGTTCAATCCAAGTCAGGCCTGCTAAAGTTATTACTTAAAATTGTGTGCCTGCCACATAATCAAAGCTCTATAAATACCTTCAGGCTATGTGCATGAGCTACATATGAACCAAAAGTGAACTTTGTGTTTAAACTTGGGAATATGTCCCAAGACAGCCATCCTGTTCTCTCTGTATGTATACATGAGTACATGTGTATATACATATATATTTTTATATGTGTGTATACATACATATAAATATACATATAATATATAACGTATATATTACATATAATTATACACACATGCACACACACTCAAAAGACTTCCGTTTCCTAACTTCTGGTCCTTCTGGTCCACTTCTGGTCCTAAGCATTTTAGATAAGGGTTACTCAACCTGTACTGAGCATCACAATACTAACAGTGTAATTTTAAGTAAGTTACCAAGTTCTTTTATCTCCTTTGCTTTATTTGGTCTTTGCAATCATCCTAAATGCTACAGTATTGCTATCTCTACTTTGCAGCTGGGGAAACTGAGGTCTACATAATGCACAATCACACAGCCAAGATCACAAGCCAGCAAGTGGGAGAATTTGGTGATAAGAACAAGGAAAGGGACTTTCCTTTTGGCTGTGACAGATTATCTTTTGAGACATCCTGAGACAGGTGAATGAAATGCACCTGTCTCATTTAATATTTTTGTGAGGCCAAGAAATATCTTAAGAATTTTAGGTTTCTTTTTTTTCTTTTGTCAGTCATGGGGCTTGAACTCAGGGCCTGAACATTTGCAGTTATTCAATAGCTCTAATTCCAGTGGTGGTGAATGGGAGATTAAAAGTCTCACAGAATTCCTGCCTGGGCTGGCTTTGAACCGCAATCCTCAGATTTCAGCCTCCTGAGTCGCTAGGATTACAGGTGTGAGCCACCAGCAACCAGTTTAAGAATTTTTTATGTCTTGGACAACAAGAAACCAACCATTTTCCTTGCCTGTATGGCTGTTCAGAGAGAGGAGAGAATCTGTTGTCATCTTCCCAAGTGTGGAGGGTAGCTACAGCTACGGGAGTTTACTCAGCTGCTTAGCAGAGTCTGTGGTGGCTGAGCTCAGTTGTGCGCTCTTTAAAGTGCTCCCAGACATGGATGTGTCTCACCCGCTGTGGACAAATCACCCCCTGTGATTGGGACAACCACTGTGACAGGCAGACAAGGGTGTTCATGGAAAACAGCAAGAGGGGAGCTTGAGTCCAAAGCTTTGAAGTTCAGATGGAGAGAAACATAAATTCCATTCTGGAAGGTCATAGAAAACCCTTCTCCAGAAACAACATAGGCCATATGAAGAGCACTGTGGGAAGAGAACCCTGGTCTAAAGGAAGCTCAGGACACAGTCGTATTGCAAGGGCAGAATTTAGCCTGCCTTCTCTACAATGAGTGGGAGGAAGGAAGCTCCGGAGATGAAGGGATGCATGCTGAACCACAGCTGAGGACTGGTTAAGAGTTACCAAGTGTTGATGGTACAACAGACACCTAACATTCAAGGGGTATACAGAAAGCCTGCCCAAAGTGCAAGTTGAGGCATGGCTGTGCAACAGTTGGAATACGCTTTTAAAGACTAGGGTTTATGCCGGGCACTGGTGGCTCACACTTATAATCCTAGCTACTCTGGAGGCTAAGATCTGAGGATCACAGTTTGTAGCCAGTCTGGGCAGAAAAGTCCAGGAGACTCTTATCTCCAACAAACTACTCAGAAAAATCCGGAAAGTGCTCATAAGGAAAGACAATATTCAGGGAGGATGCTTTGAGATGAAGACCATTTGCTGTGGCTCAAGTGGTAGAGCACTAGCCTTGAATGAAAAGAAGCCCAGGGACAGTATCCAGGCCCAGAGTTCAAGCCTCAAGACCAGCAAAAAAAGAAAAAGAAAAAAAGACTAGGGTTTATGCTGGGCACTAATGGACACTCATGCCTATAATCCTAGCCACTCAGGAGACTGAGATCTGAGGATTGTGGGTCAAAGCCAATCTAGGCAGAGAAATCCATGAGACTCTTTATCTACAATAAACTACTCAGAAAAAAAAAAAAAAACAGAACTGGAGCTGTGGCTCAAGTGACAGAGCACTAGCCTTGAGCAGAAGGGCTTAGGGACAGTACCCAGGCACTGAGTTCAAACCCCACAACCAACCACTACCACTACCACCGAAAGAATGGACTTTATGATAAAGGAAGTTGAGCCTATTGCAGGACAAAGCTGGTGATGAGACAGAAAAATACCATCTGAAAGAAAAAAAGGAGGAAAACAGAGAAAAAGAAAGGAGAGGAGAATGAATGGCATGAATGGAGGAGGGAGAACATGAATTACAAGTGCACTTGGGGACGACAAGGAAGAAAAGAATTGATGAGAAGGGTTAATTATCCTGATGAGGGAGAAATTAAGACTACATGATTCATCACTATCATCAGCCAACCAACATGGGTGACAAACTCTACTACAGTTACCCCAATGCATGGTTATTTCCATGACATACTTTTCTCTCTTTCTTTGTGCCAATACTGGGGCTTGAACTCAGGGTCTAGGTGCTGTCCTTTTTTTTTTTTTTTTTTTGGTATAAGGCTGGCATTCTAATACTTAAAGTACTTGAAGCTCCGCTTCTGGCTTTTTGCTGGTTAATTGGAGCTAAGACTCTCATAGACTTTCCTACCTGAGCTGGCTTTGAAATGTGATCCTCAGATGTCAGTCACCTGAATTGTTAGATTACAGGTGTGCAACACCAGTACCCATCAGTGACATACTTTTCTGAGTGTATAATGAGGACCATGCCAGGTCTAATAGCTGAGCCTTGACAGATTAAAACTCAGCAATCCATGTCAGTGAACAGGTCTTGCATTCAGATGGAATTTAGATGGAAGATTATCGAGTTCTTTGGACAGGAAGAATAAACAGGGAAGTAATGCACCGACTTAATTAGACCAACTGGGACAGAGGAGGATGGGCACTGTGCTGTCATGCTGTACTCCCCAAGACCACCAAAGAGTAAGATTGTACTACTATGTCCTTCAACAGCTGAGGGAATGGTGGAGCCCTAGAGAGGGTCTCAAGGTCACACAGATGTGTCAGCTTGAAATGAGAAATAAGGACCAACTCCCTAACCAAAAGGTTTGAGAATAGCAAAGGATTGCAATCTGGGACACATAGTCTATGTTGTAATGGATTATAGGCACAACAGAAGAAGTCAAGTCATAGTTTATAATAAAAACAATATTCAGGTAGGATGCTTTGAAACAAAGACCGTTTGCTGTGATCGCTTGAGAGAATCATTGCACAAGCAAGTGTCCTAGTGCAAGAGAAGTGTGTGGAATACAACACTTTGAAGGAATTCTTTACTATTTCTTGGCATATGTAGAAGACAACTCCTTTGTGGTCCCACTGGATCCATGGTTTAGGTTTGACATAAGTGATTCCATTTTGACACTGACAGCTTTCATAGGCATTGAGACAATCAGAATTGAATCGGAGCCCAGGTATTTTGCTATCACATCCATGAAAAGGAAAGTCAAGAAATGTACAGAATACAGACGGGATATACTGAGAAAGGTTCAGAATAAGGTAAGGGACAAAATATACTACTTATAAACACTAAAGTTTACAAACACAAAAATATAATGAAGTACCCAAGGCAGGAACACAGAGAGCATGAGCAGGCCTCAGACATTTGGGTCAGGGTTGGGGTGAGAGGTGCATGCAAGAAAGGCAAAATATGCCTGATCCGGCCATACAGATAGTCAAACTGTAGTGGAATCTTAGGCACACTCCCCATCATGACATCCTCCTCCCAAACACAAAGTCAGTGTTCAATGTGAGGACATCAC